CACTAGGGGGAACAGGGGTGACGACCTGCTTAAAGTCATCGAGGGAGAGGTTCCATCCTGAGGAGCCTGGTTCTTCCTCCTCCATGGTCATCAGTTGACTCCGAGCCTCCCCGAGCCTGTTCTTCCAACCTGGGACCTCTGCAGAGCTGCTCCCAGCAGGGAGAGCCTCCGAGGTCCTCTTCTGGTACTGCACATCTTCCGCAGTGCTCTTCTGGCCCGAGGGCACTTCCTTCTCTGAGGCTGAAGGAGCAGTCATGTGCTGTCTCCACAGTTCATGCAGCTGCTTTACCACTTGAGGCTGATAATGCAACTGTGATAATGGGGAAGAGGTAAACGGTGAAATGAGCTATGCCCTTCCTCTACAAACCTAATTGCTAAAGCCACCGTGGCAGACTATGCCAGCCTCCAGAAACCCAGGGAGGCACCAGCCCCACGAGCCCGCCCTCCCTGCTATTTCAGTTGTGTAGCCCATCAAACAGCAGACGTCACCTTGGGATTCATCCGGTGGAACAGCTCTTCCTCCGTGACACAGGCATCCACCGGAGACGGAGCGCGTTCTGGGGTCCGAATTTGGACAGCGAGTTCTTTCAGTGTCTCTTCTACCACAGCAGCAGCTACCCGAGCAGCCAGGTCTCTCTGAGGCACCACAACAAGCACAGCATGTGTGAGTCTCCGTTCCATATACAACACAAATTCACACCCACACTAGTAGCCACATGTATATGTCATATAGGGTTACAAGGACAACTACAAACTCTGCTAAGCAGAGCGATACTTACAGCAGCTTTTCAACAGGAACCCTGCAAACCCTCCCCCAACCTACACTTTCCAAAGTGTAGTGTAATTGTCAATTTATCTCTTAACTGATATCACAGCGTGCGACACCTAATCCCATCCCCACTAATGAATTTCATTAGCTGCTTACCAACAGAAAATTCATTCTCTAAAGGACCACCATGCACAGTTTAGAAGATGCAATCATGTCTTTATTAACAACGTTACAATAGACTGCAGAGTTCTCCCATTTTATTTAGCAAACCTGCTCAAGTATGCACAGATGCTCTGTAAATAAATAATCATCTCACTCTCAGCCCTAACTGCACAGCAATAAAAATACCATGTCATCCACTCCCACCCTTATCCTCTATTTGCATATGAAGTTCAAAGCTCCCAGTTACCCAGTTACATGCTTGGTTACCTCCAGTTTCTCTCTGACGTCAGCCAATTTATCCTCACACACAGCAATTCCCCAAAGGGTCACCTGCAGCAGAGCTCCTCCTAATAACACAGGATGTGTCCTAAATTCCCAGGACTCGCTGTAAATGCCTGCTCTCTCGGACTTGAAAAGAAAGACAAACTTCCTAGTTTCTCCAGGCAAAATCACACCTGAAATAAGAGACAAAATGTATCAGTCTGCAAGAAGCCACCTGGTTAACTTGACTTTTTTCCAATCCCACCCCGAGCGTCCTTATCTCTGTATGAGACTCCTCAGCTGGTTATCACACTTCAGCGAGCTATTTTTCTCCTTCCAGATTTACTCCCAGTCACCATGCTGCTGAACTGGTGGTATTTCCACTGCACGCTCCTTTCACACAAGCTGAGTACTCTCTCTGGCAGACCATGCCCAGTTTGCCCTCAGAAAATGATTCACTTCTCAACATTCCACCCAGGAGCAACCTTCTTTCTTTCAAGTGCCATGAAAGGGATCTGCCTCGCACAGCACGCCTCTTTAGGTGTGAGTCAGCTCTGATGCCCAGGGTGCTTTCCTAAGGACAATCACCCAACAGGCTTGCTCTGCCATTAGCCAGAGTCAGCATCTCAGGTAACTCCTGCATACGTGCTCTCTAGCCTACCTACAAAGGTCTCAGAGATCAGGAGCTCCCATACCTGGTCTGGTATCAAAGTAAAAACGCTGAATCAGCTTCCACATGGTTTCTCTGGAGGGAATCCGCTGGGGAAGCCTCATCCAGCTGTACCAGATGGCAGTTGTGCCATCATTGCTCACTGTCAGCAGGCTTTCAGCTATCTCACCAGCCAAAGCCTCAAAGGTGAGCCGGGCAGCAATGCCAATTTCATCCTAGAAGGAAGAAGAAAAAGACACAGATAACTATTTCTACTCTATCTGGCAGAATTTACGTTGCCTGAAGTCATGCCACAAATAAGGGGACGAGCTTTGGTAGGAGAACTTGAAAGGCAGGCCCAGTGAAGTGGCCATTATACAGAGAGAGCCTGGGAATCTGCGCATCACACCACAGACAGAGCAACCCCTTCTGTTTCTAGATCTCTCCGGAGCAAACAGGAGGATACTCCACTACGGTCAGAATAAAGCCCCCATTCTCTGGCCTGGGAGCGACATTCATTGTACAGCTGTGAGTTGGGAGCTCACGCAGGCTCAGCTTGACTAAACAACGAGAAGCGCACAGTTACCCTGCGAGAAGTGGGGCAGTCGATCCAACGAGCAGGCTGGCCACAGAAATCCAAAGACGGACCCCGTACCGCTTCTGGAACCACCTCGGTACGGTCACTTAAGCTGCCACTGCTAAAGAAAACAAAAGTCAGGGTTTTGGTGGAGTTAAATTCACTTTCAGAGGGGAGAACCAGGGTGATTTACAAGACCTTATAAGAAATAATCCCAACTAATGCTTTTCCACATCGTCATCTCTTTAGGGATAGAGCCCTGCAGACGTGGTAGGCCCCAGCTAGCGACTTGTCACCATCAAGGAGGACAGGATGGCCAGAATATTAAAGAACGATACATGCCTAAGGCTGAGGGCACATGACTGAACAGCGAGAAGCCGCCCTCAGGCTGCGCCCATTACAGGTGGACAGGACAGGGGAAAAAAGGGGCAAATTCATGCTGGAAGTGGAAGGCTGGAAAAAGACGACCAGGTGGAGATAATTTAGAGCAGAATCCCCACCCTGCCTCACGTAAGCTCTGGAGCCACACAGAGGGAAGACTGGAAGAAGGGCCTCGGAAAAACCTTTTCTCTGATTCTTGCTCCTTAGGCACAAAGCCCCAAGGCACAAAGAAACTTCTTGATTCCCAAGTTTGATGATTCTAGTATTAGAATACGCCTTTTATTGTGCCCCAGTGGAGATGCCTCTCCGTTCTGGATAAGAACAGCTAAGGATACCCTTACAGACTGGTGGTGCACACCCCAAATTCTTTCTTTCTGCCATGAAGTAAAACTTACAGGGTCTCAGACTCCTCAGAAGTGGTGGAACGTGGAAAAGGCTCTGTTGAGACAGATGTGAAAGGCTGCCCTTTACCGACCACCTCCAGTCCATCCAGATCCTGGACATACAGAAAAAACGACCAACTCAGGATTTCTTTTTATATAGAAAGGAAGTTAAGACACCAGACAAATGTACCCAGTCAAGTAAAGGGAAGCCAAGATATCTTACTCCTGTGATGGTTCTTATTCAGTGAATGTTCAAGAGACAAAGCAAGGCACCAGTTCTGGGTCGCCCAAGAATCCTAGATGATTGCATTGCCTACTACAAATGATGCGTGGATGGGCAAAGCCTCCTTCACAGACACTTCTCATCCCCACAGCCACGTTTCAGAAAGAAAAAGGCAAGGTTTGTCCAGTTTTGAAGAGGAGGGGCTACCTGCCTTCAGGAGGTTATCTGGGCTGCGTGTCTTTCACACAGGTAAAGGTGCCTCCCCTCTGCCCGGAGGCACTAAATCAAAGTCCTACACCGGCATCTGACAGGGTTTTATTGCCTAGGTCTTGGCAGCTGTGTGCTGCTGGTTCAGGGTCCTGTTCTGAGGCTCCTAGAACGCTCCATGAAACACCTAGGGAGGCTAGACAGCTCTTTCCTGGGTGTGGCCCTTGGGAAATGTGGGAACTTCCAAGGTAAGTACTGTGGGGCTAAGGTTTAGATTCCTAATGCTTTTTCAGATCCTGTTCTTGGCAGTTTTATGTTACTCTACAGCATTTGACAAAATACAAGAGATGCAAAGAATGTCCTAGCTCCTCTAGCCTTACCGGCTTATGAAAATCCAGCTCCTCTAGGACAGATTTTAGCTCCTGCCGCCGATGTTTCAGGAAAAGACTCTTGTCCCAGGTTTGACGGAAAGGGATACTCTTTGGAGGCTTCAGACCTATGGAAACACCCATACAAGAGCTCACTCTCTGCGTACCCACCTGCCTATTAATTTCATTTTCTGTTAAACTTTGGTCTCACGGTGCTTTAAAGAGAAGGTCCAACAGATGACTGGGAAGTCGCTTGTGCTGCACCAAGTGTCGGAAGGGACAACTATTAATGTGAGCCTCGGTACTTGCAGGAGTCACTGCTTCATTCTGCTGCTTCCCCCTCCACACTTGTACCCCATTTCTGTGGAGCCGCCTCTCTGCGACGTTCCCTTACCCATTTCCACTTGGACAGTGTGGGGTTTCCCCACATGAGTGACTGGCTCTGGGGAGCCACGCTCCCTCTGCGTCAGTGTCGTCGTCAGGCCAGTGAGTTCATCTCCAATACGGTCGGGCTGGCTCCAGAACTCGCTTCCTCTTTGGTAGCCCTAGGGCGGAAAACAAGGCTCACACGGACGCTCTCAGAGGCGTACGGCTGCCTGCTATTTTTACAGGGACTAGGAGCTAAAAAGAAGAAGGAGTCTAACTCTGCTTATGCGGATATTTTAAAAATCTATAAATTATCACCTTCTGCAGAGCAAGCCCAAATTTCTATCAGGCTGCTGCCAAAGACAAAAGAAGACTTTCTTCTAGCTAGTGCTACATGAACGTTGAATGACATTGACATAATTCCTCACACAAATGCAAATTCTTTGATAGTGCTATAAACGTAAAAAATTATTTTAACATAGGATACTCCCATAATCCTCCTGACTTACCCATAGCCCTTTCTCCACGGCAATCACTAAAATTTGAGTCTGAAGCTACCAAATCTGTCTGTCCCTGGAACCACAACTGCGGCACGTCCCCAAGCCACTTCCCAGTGCACGACAGTCTGTGGTGACAACCAGCAAACGGCACTTGCCCTTGTACAGCAGTTCGTTCGCAAGGAGCCGAAGCACACCACCATCTTCCTCTGACCAGTGCGGAGAGCACAGTTCATGTTTTTATTTTTAAAGTCACTGAAAGCTCTGCTTGCACACTAGGCCGAAGGACTCGGAGTGGCTTTAATAAATATCTAATGACAGGTCTCCAGAGATGTTACTCATAACACCAGTGTCTCGGCTCTTTCACAGGAACAGAGCAACCAGGATGCAGAGCAACTGGGGCTCTCACCTTTCCAGGAAGCAGGGCAGGGAGACTCCGGTCAATGAGGTCACGTTCTTCCTGGATTTGCCTGTAATCCTCCGAGACGCTCATCAGCAATTCATTCTCTGGCCTCTGAAGAATGTCTATGAAGAAGGAACGTCAAATCATTGCTGCTGCACTTCTGGGCACACCCTTTACCCCTACGACTGCTCACGTGTAACCCCCTTACACTGTCCCCCACCAAACCCACTGTCCAGCCCCCGGCCAGAACCCCCAGCTCAGCTCCCCACAGCGCCCAGGCCAGTAGCACCAGCAGCACGGGGAGGCCTGTGAAGTAGACTGCAACGGCAGTAGGATTAACCCCCGTCAGCTACAACCATTACAGTTTGCTGTGATGCCATCAAACTGCCACACCTGCACACAGAATTTCACAGAGCGAGGCCTCAGCTTTTCTCACCTCCTAAATATTTCTGCTGCTTTTTCCTGATTGCCATATTACGCTGCCAGTTCTGGAGAGCTTTGTGCTCTGCTACCGGGGTCTGATGAACCGTTTTCTTCTTCTCTCCTCCACGTTGCCCTTTTAAAGGTGCTGGAGTAACATGTTGATAAGAAGCCTCAATAAGATCTGCTAACTGAAGGGAAAGGAAACGTCAGGTTAACCTCTCCATACACACACTGCCACCATGACGAGAATGGGAGAGGGGAGGAGAAAAAGATTCTTCAGATTGACAGTACTTTTATCTGATAACTCTGAGAGGAACAAGAACAGGGCACTGGAACACACTCAGAAACAATGGAAAGATTTATCTGAATAATGAGACTTGAGCAATGGCATTGCTGCAACATCAGCTCTTCCCTTGCAAGTCAGACGCCATCAGCAGACGCACATATGCAAGAGGAAGCCTCTGTAATTCTTCCCTCCGTGACCTTGACCTCGTCCTGCACACAGGACTCCAAAACCTGCCGGTGCAGTTCCTCTGAAGGAAAGCCCTCCCTCCCTGCAGAGTATGAGGAGGCTGCGAAAACCACACCTCAGGCGTGCCCTGCTCCTGGAAGGTGCTGAAAAGCATTGGAAGGTACTGTAGGCACCTCACTCCACCTCTAGCAAAGGGCCACACAGCAGCATTTTTGTAACTTTACGAACCAACCTGAGTGTTTCCTCTGGCCAAGGCTTCCATCTTGAACTCCTGGAGACTTCCCAAAATGTGATGGGGGAGAATCTTTTCACAGCCATCAAATGGTCCTGGTCCTACGACACACACACAAAAAAACCAGCCCCGGAGCCAGGTCACTAAAGCTAGGCTTAGCAAAACAAAAACCCAAAGAAAAGATGTGAAGTTTAACCCTACCAGAAAAAGCCAGCGGCTCCCTGGGTGCCTTTGGGGAAGCAGCAGGCGCTGCGAGGTGATGGGCGACCGCCTTCGTCTCTTTGGGCTGGTATTTTCGAAGGAGTCGTTTCTTCCTAACTGAAGTTCTCGCAGCGCCAGGGGGAGGGTGTGGAACATGGAGCTTCAGAAAATAAACAGCCACAACGCAATTAGGCACGTACTGACTCACCTTCACTCCGGCTGTCCCTCCCCTCTGAGGCAGCTTACACAACTGCTGAGACACCAGCTTAGGCACTGTCTTAGTCTTCAGGACTTTGCTTTATAACTGGGGCAAGGAAAAGAGTTTTAAACCATTTTCCCAATAGTCTTCTGCTGTCTCACTTGCTATTAAATGCTTCCACTCGCACAGTTTGACCTGATGCCATGACAGCTACTAAACAACTTGTGTGTCTTATTAGACCAGAAGCTATTAAACAACTTGTCTGTCTTATTAGCCTTATTAGACTTAGATTGGAAACGTAATTGTGAAGAGGCAAATGACTTATCCTTCCCTTTGCAAAGATTGCATAAGGATCAATAATCCTTTGCTTTTCGCAACTGAACCTGATGATCTGACAAGTCACAAAAAGCAGGAAAGACAAAATGGAATGAGGACTGAGCTCCAAGATTGGGTTTTGGTTTAAGCAAATGCACAGCAGCCTCTGCGAAACGCACGAAATGAAAGGAGAGCGCCAGTTAAGGCAGCTGTTTCTACCCGTACAAATACATACTTTCTCCAGGTCCTCCACCTTAATTGCAAGTACCTGGATGTCAGCTCCTTGCAGAACACACGGAACGGGCTCGGGCTCTTCCGCAGCTGCCGAGGCGGACAGTTCACCTATCTTTTCCTTCTTGTCTGAAAAACAGATGAAGAGACCTCCTCTTCAGTCTGCCCAGGAAACCCCATCTGCCTCTTTCAGCCTGGTTATTCATTTCCAGCTGAACTATGTTTGGGGTTTGTTTGGTTTTTTTTTTTTTTAAGGTTGCACAGAACAATTAAATTCAGCTTCCCTTGTAACTGGAAAAATCAAATTCTGAGAAGCTACGAGGACCAAAGTGGGTCACTAGGATTTGACTGCCCGACACTTTATTCTAGATGAGAGGGACGAGACCAACGCAGCCTGCGCTTCCCGCAGGCAGAACAAATTCCTGGGGAGCTCCCTCCCCCAGCCACAAGCCCACGGCCTCCCCGGGCAGCTGCCCTGCTCGCCGAGCACAACCCGAGGAGAGCCACGGGATCTTCAGAGACTCTTGAGCAGCAAAATCGGCCTCAAAGAGCAAGCCCACAGCAATCCGGGGGGCCCCCCCCCCCCCAGCCACAAGCCCACGGCCTCCCCGGGCAGCTGCCCTGCTCGCCGAGCACAACCCGAGGAGAGCCACGGGATCTTCAGAGACTCTTGAGCAGCAAAATCGGCCTCAAAGAGCAACCCCCCTGCAGGGCAGCGCTCCCCGGCGCAGGCCTCGGCTCAGGCAGGGCCACCGGG